GTAATGTGCATGGTGAGAATTTCCCTTAAAGTGACACTAAAGATGGGATGGAGATTTGGGATGCATGTATCCCTTGAGTATTTGTTTTTGTTTCTTTTTTTTACTTACTGTAATGCGGCTTGAAGTAGGAAGATATTGCTGTGCTTTCCTTGGTAGAGAAAAAAGAAGGGCTTGTGCTGCCTGGAAGTGCTTGCTTCTAATGCGTGCTGACTTTTTCCAGTAAAACCTCAGGGCTAAGTGTTTAGTGTAGAAAGTATGGAAAACAATCTGTTTTTCAGAAAGCCTATCTGTACTGGATCTAGCAAATGTTAAATGATTTCATTTAATTTTGAAGTGCAAAAGTAAATTTGTGGTGATCCAAGGTAACAAACCAGTGGATGCAGGGTTTAAACAGAACTTTTTTATGACCATGGAGTCATTTGGAGGCTCTTAACATGGCATTACAGTAACGTCTTGTGGGAAAAGTGATTTCTTACAAATAACTCCATGTTATTTTTTGCCTGCCAGCAGCAACATTTGGTACTGCATCCATGAGCATGCCTGCAGGATTTGGAACTCCTGCCTCCTACAGTCTTCCTACTAGTTTTAGTGGCAACTTCCAGCAGCCTACATTCCCAACCCAAGCAGCTTTCCCCCAACAGACTGCTTTTGCTCAGCAGCCAAATGGTAGGTCTATACACTCTCGATCACTTTCTTCCATGTTTCTGTTTTAAAGAAGTTCCCTTAATCTAAGTCAATGATAATGAGTGCGTATTTATTTCTACATAAATGTTGTAGTTAAATTAGCGAGGGGTTCCCTCACACAGCAATGTGGCTCTGTAGTTAGCATTCAGGCTTGACTGTGTGCAGTTTGTAACTGAAACTTTACCATAATTGATATAAAACTAAAATATTCAGAGATATAACAGTTCTAAATGCAAGGATTGTTTGATCTTTATTTAAGTGTGCCTGCAACAGGTTGTAATATTTTCTGTAACTTGAAGAGCACAGGCAAGACAAAATCAGAGTGCTTTTTCCCAAAATCTAAATGATAAAGCAACATTGGAAAAAGCTTGTATGTAAAAATCAGGAATTCGTTAGTTCTGTACAGTTGAAACTGAGCGAAAAACTCAGCTATGATTTTTATGCTTTTGCAAGTTTTCTCTTGTTAAAAAACTTAGCTTTTCGATGCTGATGTGTATTGTGTTTAAGCTTTTAAAAACCAGCTCTCTGGTGCTCTGCTGCACAGTGCTCCTGAGCATTAGCATCTAAAGGTGCAGTTACTAATACTGATAGTATGAATACTTCATAAATATCATCTCAGAGTGCACTGTTAATGGCAGTGTTAATAGAAAAGCAGTAATTCACTGAAGCGAACTTATGGAGAAAACATAAACAGATGTGATTTAGGCTTCTTGTCTACCTGAGTGAAAACCGCTGCAGACAAGCGTATGATTTACATTGCTATTACTACACTAAGCTTTGTAGGAGGGCAGTGAATATGGATCGCTTCATCTAATTTGTGTTATCTGTGTGACAGCACACTGAGGCCGATTAAGGATGCTCACGTGATAATACAGCTGAAGTGTGTAGAAGTAGCCCTCAGCTAAGGGTGCTGAGATCTTAATAGCTGTGTTCTGAAGTGGTAAACAGAAGCAAGCTGTGAGCCAAACTTGTTCAAGTTTTCATGCTAAGTTTGTTGCTTTTCAGCTGCAATGCCCAAAGCTCTTATTGAATTTGAAAATTCTAGTCTTTGAATTTCTACATTCATGTTACTTGGCTAGAGAAGAGATTAGGAAAAGAGAGACTGTTGCATGTTTAAATTGGGAACTGATCTTGCTAATAGATGGTTTTTTAAGAGCTGAAATGAAAGTGTGTATGTGAGGAGACTAAATAGATTGAGCTATTAAGTGAAAACTTACTATTTAAAATTTCTTAAAACTACACTACTTAGGTAAGATAAAATCCTGCTGACTGGTGCAGTCCAAGCTTTCCCTTTGTTTTTTGCTGTAAGCTTTCAAACTGAAACTTAATTGAGGATTGATAACTGGTAGTAATATTTTGTTATCTTTTGAAGGTGCAGGTTTTGCTGCATTTGGACAGGCAAAGCCTGTAGTAACTCCTTTTGGACAAGTTGCAGCTGTTGGAGTATCTAGTAACCCTTTTATGGTAAGTCGTTGCATATTAATAACTTGTGCATGTCTGAAAAGGCACGATATGTAATAATTATAGATGCATGATTTTTTTGCTTCAAATAAAGGAAGGCAACATGAATCTCTTAAATGCAATTCTATATAACAATGCTATGGCATTTATAAGGCTGCTCAAATCAAAATAGAAGTATCTATACACTATAGTCCTACAATAATGTATATTTAGATAAAACAAACACCAAAAAGAAAAGAAAACAATAAACCAAAACCCTGCAACACAAACCAGAAATATTTCTTGATAATTTGTTCTCTGTTTCATACACCTTTGTATTTATGATCTGTGATTTAGAAAAATTTCTTATTTTATTCTTTCTGTTTCCCTCAGGCTGGTGCCCCAACAGGACAATTTCCAGCAGGAAACTCATCAACCAATCCTTTCTTATAGCCTTATAGACACTTTACCCAAAAGAACTCTTATGTGGTCACATAACATCTCTGCGCCTCTTGCACTGTTGTCTTGTTTCACTGATATTAGCTTTAAACACAAAAGAAGTCTTTAAGAAGTTAAAATGAAAGCCTGCATTGTGTACCTTTGGGGGGGGAAAGAACACAAGAAACCCAACAAGGAGTCATTCCCCTCCCCTCACACACACACAAAGAAAATCAACCCCCTCCCTCTCACCTCCCCAGGTAATAATGTGCAAAACAGAGGGCTGTGGTAACATCCTTGGACCTGTGAACTGGCAGGAAAAAAGTAGCGGTATCATGTATATTAAAATTGGCTAATAAGTTATTGCAGATACCACATTCATTATGCTGCAGTACTGTACATATTTTTCTTAGAAAATAGCTATTTGTGCATATCAGTATTTGTAACTTTAACACATTGTTATGTGAAAAATGTTACTGGGAAATAGATCAGCCACTTTAAGGTGCTGTTGTATCTCTTGGAATGAATGAGCTACATCATTTTAACCATTGGTATTGGAAGTCATCACATTAAATTGAAGGTTTGTTCATTTCTCAAAATGTTTTCCTTTCCTAAGAGCTCTTCTATTTATACATGCCTAAATCTCTAATGTTAGAGGGATACCTGTCTGCATAATAAAGCTGATCATGTTTTGCTACAGTTTGCAGGTGGAAAAAAAAAAATAAATATTAGAAAAAAAGAAGTGTAGCTTTATTTCTGTGTAGTGACACTTATTTGGGTTAGAATGTTCATATTGTGAATCTCATACACAAATGATCTATCAGAAATGATATGCTCGGAAGTAATTTAAGTTCAATTTTCATATCCTACAGTCTTGAATATGTCCTCATGATTAAGCCTGCTGTTCAAGTGAAGTGGCTTATCTATCCGGAATGAGTTTACATGAACTCTTATATAACTCTGATAATAGCTATGTAATGAAGGACACTGAGAGCACTGAGATGAGTAGTGACTTGAAAAATGGTTAGTTGCTGAAAGACATAACTGCTGACAGCTAGTGGAGTCTTTGAACATGACTTAGTTGTGACCGCAACAGTACGTATGACCTTGGTACCACAGACTGAGTCGTTCTCTTTTTATTAAAATCTGTGCCTATTAGTAGGACTTCCTGTGGAACACTGAGTTAACTGATTGGATTTCTTAATTTTCTGGAACGTTTTCTGCCATCTTAGTATAGCATTTGTAGAGGAAGAAATGTCTGGTTTGTCTAATCTATGGTAGAGAAGTTGCAAGAAGAATGCAAGTGCATCAAAGTAATCAGTGGTGGAATTTGAACACTGATAACTGGGCTTCTGTTCAAATGTAACATTGAAATTAAACAATTACTGTGCACTTGCTGTGAGTACCCAGACCTCAAGCTTAAAGGAGGGTTTCTGGCCAGCTTAAGAATAAAGTTCTAACTTTCAGAATAACAGGAATAAATGAGATCAAATTATTAGAGATTTTTTGAGAAAAGTAGTGTGTGAGTTGATTGAAATAAATGGGAGAATTCCTCAAGGTAAGAAACTTTTTGTAGTCATCCGCTTGAGTAGAGATGTACTTGTCCCTTGGGGAACTGGCAGGCATGATCACTGCCTGTGGAAATGCTCTTCATATGCCAGTGCTTCTGACTAGTGTTGCCTATGTGTGGGGAATGGTAATTTCCGTGTTATTTTTTTTAAGTTTTAGAGATCCCAAAGGACAATGGATATAAGAAGTTTATAGGTAGTATTCTTTGCTTAAAGGTCTCTTCTGGCCTGTTGATGTGTTTGATATTAAAAGACTTCTGGAGTCTTCCTTTTTCTTCTGACAAGGGCTGATGGATGGAGTATGGTGCATGGATTAATTCTCTTTGGGTGAATTCATTAAACAAGTTCCCAACGGTTGAGGGTTTTCATGGTGCTAGCAATGCTTCACTGCTGTTTAGCATAATAACTAGACTTCTCTATTGTTGGCATCTGTATTGGGATAATAACACATGCAGTAAAGAGTGGGCATCTGCAAGGACTTAGAAGGATTTGTGGAATGCTTAGAGTTACTTACTGATGAGAAATGAACTGAATCAATCAAACAATCTTGTACTTCCTTCATCCAAATTGATTCATCTAAGTAGATGTAACTAAGCTTTGAACAAGTGCTTGTCTCTGAAAGGAGAACTTCCTGGGTCATAAAGGGAAGCTCGAGCTGTTTTTAAAAAGTGTTTTTAGAGGAATGAATTGTTAAGGTTTCCTTGTGAGCTGAATAGGGGGAAATATCAATTACTTCTTGCTCTTAACTAATCTGTACTTTGTGGTAGTTTGTGGCAGTGGAACATAATGAAAACTGCTGCTATCTGATAGAAATGACTCCAAAGTGCCCCTTTACTGAACGTAGTTGAAAGAAGTCACTGATAAGCTGTCTTTGTATCTAAACCTTTAAGTGTTTTTATTTAAGTAAGACTGCCTTGTATAGGAATTGAAGTATCTGCCAATGGCTTGCTTAAAAATACAAAGTTAGCTTAGGAGATTTTTTGCTTCCAAGATAAGTATGTCTGAAAACCTCCATTAGCTGTACATAATGAAGGTGTATGCTGACTGCTTAAGCTAAGATCTCTTTATCAAGACAGACCTTTAAAAGGGAAAGCCAGGGTATGAGTACAAGAAATCTTCAACAGATTCACAGTCCTGCTGTCACTGCATCTGGAACATTTCCTGAACAAAATGGCATTTTTCTTGATGTCACACAACTTCAGATATAGAAGGGATTCACTGTCTGTGTGGAACCTGAAGTGAATGTGTTTGGTCATTTGTGAGAATGTATTAATCCACTGTTGAACATGCAGTCGTAGCATCTTTGTGGGCTGAAGTGGAGTGAGGGAAGGTTAATTATTATTTGTATTAACTTGCTTTAAAAATTCATGTCAGAACTTCCAGTTGAAAAAGTGCAAGTGTCCAGAAAGTTTGTGGCAACCTGTCTTACAGATCTGTGTGCTGCTGTAGGACGATTGCTTCTTTAGGCTCCCCAGGAATGTTTGAATGCCTTGTAAATGAGAGTAAACTGCATTTAATTAAAATGTTCAGTAAAAGTGAAAGTTCTCTGGTGATGTTCTATAAGCTCTGCCACTGAGAGATTCAGGCATCTGTATGCAATTTTCTCCTATTGTGTTCATAAAATCACAGGATGGCTGAGGTTGGAAGGAGCCTTAAAGATCGTGGAGGTCCAACCCTGTACTGTGTGCTGGCTGCCCACCAGCTCAGGCTGCCCAGAGCCCCATCCAGCCCGGCCTTGAGCACTTCCAGGACTGGGGCATCCATCTCTTCTCTGACAGTGCCTCGCTGTCTTCTGAGTAAATAATTTATTCCTAACATGTAATCTAAATCTCTGCTCTCTCAATAGTTGAAAGCTGTTCCCATTGTCCTATCGCTGTCAGACCATGTAAAAAGTCAGTCCCCTTCCAGCTTTGAAGTTCCATTTAACTACTGAAAAACTACAATGAGATCTCCCTGGAGCCTTCTCTTCTTCAAGCCCAAGCTTTATTTGTAGGGCAGGTGCTCCAGCCCTCTGGTCATCTCCATGGTCATCCTCTGGGCCTGTTCTAGCAGCTCCACATCTTGTGCTGGGGCCCTGGGCCTCTGCAGTACACCAGGTGGGCCTCACGAGGGCAGAGCAGGGGGAAGCAATCCATCAAACAAAAATACAAGTTTTTACATCAGGGCTGCATCATTGAATTTGAGTTGAAACGGAAGATTGAGGACTGTTTGGTATTAGAACTTACTGGTGAAGGAAACCAGGAAAATGCATCTTCCTGTTTAAGAAGCTCTTTATGTTGGAGGCTCATAAGTCTGGTTGGTTGTGTGACAGGCACAGGTTTAGTTGAGCTTTAAGTTTCCCCTAGTTAATTGTTTAGATGATGCAGTCTTCTGAGGTGTTGCTTGCAGCCATTCTTTTCATCTTCCTGCGGTATTCCTTAATGACCAGTGGGCTCACCAGCCATGCTGGTATTTGTGCATTTCATGGAGATAATGGTGTATATGCTTCTGATCAGGAAAATTCCAGCTATGAACGTAAAGTAGCTGCTGTAAATGAGAAACTGGGAAATGGGGAGAAAAATGAAGAAAATCAAGAACTGTTTTTTTGTTGTTGTTGTATAATAACTGAAGGGGAGACCCTGTGCTGCCTTCTTCCCCTTCCTGCCACCCATGCTATTGAGTGATCTCATCTTGAAATGGTGATAGTCCACCTGCTTGACCTCATTCAGTAGAGTCTGCTGTTACAAAGGGAGGAGGAGGAGAATCCTATGTTAGTTACTTCTCTTCCCCCCCTCAATAATGGAGAAGGGCCACTGCCCTGCACTTTCTGGTTCTTTTCTGAAAAGATGAATGCTAGGGACTTGGACCTCCTGCATGTGTGTGTAAACTCTGAGTTTGTAGAGCAGAAAGAATCTGAAATTTCAGAACTGAAGTAACATGGAAGTGCATCCAACTGAAAATTATCCTAGTAATAAAGCTCCATAAAGTATTTTTCAGGTTAGTTCCTGCTTCTGCTTAGGGTGTTTTCATAACGAACTTGTCAATAGTAAGCCTGGAAACTGAGTAATAGGTGGTATTCTATTTTTTCTGCTCTAGGAAGATGTTCTTAAAGTTATGATAGAAATGCAACACTAAAGAGAGTAGAGGACAGGGAGGCAGTAGCATCTACTACCAGTTCACTGTCTCTGAAGTAACTGCTCTAAGCTAACCCATCACCTAATACTTCCAAGAGTCCAAACTTCTATTAGAACCCTCTTTTTGAGGAGTGCAGGAAAATGAGAGAAGTGTGAGTGATTTGGCTTACCTGGGTGCTGATACCCAGTCCCAGACCGTTTGGATCCACTACAACAATGGTTAAAATTGTCTGGATCACCAGTGCAATGAAGTTGTTGAAGCCAAACATCAAAGCATAACGCTCCATGCTAAGATTAACAGCAATCTGGAACCTGAAAATGAGTGTACAGTTTAATTGAGCTATGGTGAGCCTTATATGCTTGCAAATTATGGGAGGAAATTTAGGACTTGTTTCACATGTACAATGGAGTCATCAAGTTTTTTAACATTCATTTTGGCAGAAGTTTTTCTTTCTCCCTCTATTTGTCATACTATTGTGCATCCTAATTACCTATTTTGAGTGAATGTTTTTGCTAAGTGAGGACTTGCTTGTTTAAAGACAACTTGCATATAAATCATTGGGCAGCTAAATGCAGCAGAAGGAACTTACTTGGAATAAGCTGTTGTAATGATTGAGTCGTACTTCTAAGCGTGATTTCATGTGAGCTGGAAACAATGCTCTCCTATCGTTACCTATTCAGAAATCCTATTTCAGTGGAAACTTATTTACTTTATTAATGTGAAAATATGACATTTTTACTGATTTAAATCAACTTGACTGAACAGTTGTGCATTATACTTACGTTGCTATTGTTATAAGGAGCATGTAGCATGCCTTAAATGCAAGGTAACCAGCATAACATGCCCAGATGTTGTCAATAAAGAACATGAGAAACAGAGAACCAGCATCCATTGCAGAGAAAATTCCCAAAGCCAGTTCTCCAGAAAGATCCCAGTTCACTCTGACGTATCCAACTGCCATGGATGTTGCTGATCCTAAACATAAAAAATAATAAATCTTACTGTCTTTCTAGAGTTATGGCATAACTGTGCAAATGGACCACGCTCAGATCTCTTGAGACTTTTCTTAGGGCCACAATGGGCTTTGATAATGGAGTATCTGTTTTCTACAAGTGTTGTCTAAGTCTTCTGAGTTGTTGGGTTTTTTTCCTAGCTTGTAGAGCTGTCTTAGACTGAAGTACTCTGAGGAAGTGCCTCGTGCTGAGGGCTGGAGGCAGCAGTGTATGGTGTATTGTTCCATTTTTGACAACTGAGAGTAAGGACAGCCTCACCAGGCACTTTCTGTTAAAATCTGTATAGTGGATTTCATTTCATGAAGATCTTTACATGAATTGGGAAATCTGTTGCATTCCTTCATACTTTGAGGCATAGCTTCATTTTCTAATGAAAAAATCTCATTAGTTGTCAACTTTTACTGATAATCCTGTATATCAAAACCCCTTATTTTCAGTGCAGTAGGAAGCAACTTAAGCTCCAAGTCTGATCTAGGCATGTTATACAGCTGTGAGACTTAACAGTCCACAGGGTACTACTGGCTGCCCAGATGTCTTCAAGCAGGACAGCACACTCATTGACTTCATTTGCTGACAGTATGCATTCCTTAGCATAATTAAAAAGTCATAGTAGGTCTCCTCCTTTTGGTTCATAACTACAATAACCAAAGGTTCCTGTTAGTGTTAAATGATTTCTGTACTTTGATTTACTATCAAGTCCTACAGGATGCAAAAGCATCCTTTGGGAATGCTGCTCAAACCAGTAGTCTTGAAGGTTTGGAGTAGCTTCAGCAAAATTCAGTATGAATATACTGACAGTTCCATGTAGAAGAAACCTGAGATAAGACTGTTGGTATGGAGATGTAATGGTGTAGATGTGAGCTTGGAAATGAGGCTCCAATTGTACTGCTCAGCAATTTAAATGAAGTTGCACTTTGAAGTAGCCACAGAACACAAGGCGCACAGGTAAAGAGGAATGTGGTCTGGATGAGTCAAGTAGTAGCAGGAGAATCACAATAGCTGAGGCTGAAGAACTCTGGACGTTGCCTTGTCCTACACAGAGCAGGGTCAATTTGAGCAGGCTGCTCAGGATGCATCAAGGTTTTGAACGTGGGTGGAGACTCCTCTAGTGCTTTGGGCAAATTGCTTCAGTGTTCAGTCAATTCTAGAATTCTTACTTATTTATTCTTTATTATATTTACTTATTCTTCTTATTTAGGCTTTGGGCTCAGTGGGAAAGAGTCTGGCTCAACCCTTTTTAGTTCCCTTTTCAGCTATTTATGTGAATTAATAAAATCCCGTGTCTTACTGCTAAACAATTACAGCTCTCACCCTCTCTGGGTGTCACAGCTGGAGATGAACTCACTGATCAGAATATGGATGCAGTCACAAAATGTTTGTCTAGGATCACTCATCTTGAAATGTTTAGTCTGCTGTTGAAACAGACTTCCTAGAGCAGTTTCTGTTAATATACTTTAATTTTTACACTATGTTCTTTGACCTTGATCCTCACAGGAAATAGGCGCCAAAGACATTACTGAAGGATGCCATCAGGACTGGACAGATTAGAAGTAGTTGCTAGTGTTTTTACTTACCTAAAAATGTTGCCACTGCTTCAACAGCTCCATTGTACACTGCAGAGCTGTGAGATGGGGCTCGGAAGTCCCACAGCACTTGGATGTAGTTGACAACTTGGTTAAAGCCTGCCGTAGCCAAAGCCCACCACAGGGACCAGTAAAGCAGCTTCCGAGAGCTGTAGCAATCCTTCAGGTCCTTGCCCAGCTGCACCAGTACTCTCAGCACGTGGTGCTGGGGCTCGGGCTGCTGAGCCTGCTGTGCTGGAGTCGCTCCCGTGTCAGCAGCTGCGCAGTCCTTGTCCGCTTGGCAGCTCAATGACGTGTTGGAACTGAGCCCAGCCACAGCTTTGTCTGGTTGTGGGAGGGTTTCTGAGGGGCCTTTCCTATGGAAGAACATGCTCTTTTGAGGCACTGGGAGGAGAAAGGAGCACACAAAGGCCAGGGACACGGAAGCCAGAGTAATGGCATTGAGGTGAAAGTAGGATACGTCTGCTAAGGAAACCAGGAGCTGTCCCAGCACAGCAGCAAGGGTGGCTGCAACGAGAGTGATACTCCTGCAATAGCTCGTCACTCTCTGATAGCGATCAGCGCTGACGACGCTGTAGATGTAGGCGTAGTAGGCAACCTCGGTGGCTGTCACCATCCCGTAGGAGAATTCCATCACCTGCATGGCCACCAGCCCCTGTGCAAAGAGGAGCAGGAGCCACGTGACAATGAAGCTGACGCCCTGGAGGAGGAGGATGGGCTTGTAGCGCACGTAGTCAGTAATCAGGAAGACGGGGACAAGGAGCGCGAGGTAGGAGTATGTCCAAACTGGGAAAACCTGGTTGGTAACCTAGAAGAACCATACTTGTGTCAGAGCAAAATCTATCTTGCATCAAATTCAATTCCCTGAAGTAGCTGAAAATTAATACCCATTCAGTTTTAAGTTTTGCTTGAATCATATACCTCTGATCGCCTCTCCTCACCTCTGAATTTAACAAACAAACAAACAAACAAAAAAAAAAACATTCCTTTTGAACTAGGAACTGGAGTTGTATGTAATATACATGTAGCTGTTACTGGGTTGTCTTCATGTGTTAATTTTTGTTTAAAAAGTAAATAAGTTTTTGATGAAGCTGTTTGAGTAAGTTTTGGTTGGTGTTCTATGCATTGATGGCCTGAAAATAAATTGTCATCGCAGTGGTGGCTGTGCCCTGCTGAGCAGCCTGGGCCCTCAGCAGCACCCCAATAGCAGTGTGCTGTGAACCCTGTCTGGGCTGAAACCAGGACATGGGGCACTGCAGTGCCAGCTCAAATGATGGCAAGTAAGTTCATGCATTTTGATACATAGGATAAACACTGTTCTGTGAACAGCAAAGAATATGCAGCCATACTTTATATTTTAGTGAAGGAATTTCACAGGAAGTTTCAAGATTGTAGAAAAAAAACAAAACAAAACATCAATTTCTTTCTATTTGCAACTCCTTTTTCAGTCAATGTAAATGTTTGTGAATTCTCAAATGGAATCTATAGAGATACAATCAAAAATTTGGTCATGTCTTTTTACCAGGCCTTTATAAGCTGTCTTACCAGAGAGAAATACCCCTCATTTCAGAGTCATGCCTTATTTGTGTCATCTCTTATTGGTAGTTCATACATTTGTGAATAACTGTTTTCAAGGATGAAGCACAGGAACAGCCAAATTTCATCCAAAAAAAAATCTCTGCTGAAGACCTGGAGAATTTACTAAGAGATGCAGTCAGTGCCACTGAACCAAACTGATGCTTTAGTTTCACAAAGAGAAGGTAAAAAATTCCAGTCATTTTATGTTTTTGTTGGTCTTCTTTTTTTTTTTTTTTTTTTTTTGTATTGTAATTTAAAAACAAAGTAGAAAATTTATCTTAATTTTGTTACTTTACATACATTAATAACATTATATATTGCATGAGGACTGTCACGTAAGCAAAGCGTGCTATGTTATGACGTTGGCCTATGATGTCAGAGGTGGATGTTGGAGGTATGGCAGCAGAGGTTGAACCTTCCCAACAATGGTGGCAGAGAGGCAGTCTGAAAGAATGGCATCTGATGTGGAAGTGTGTGACACAGAACAAAGAGTTGCCACTGAATGCCTGCATGTAGAATCCACAGTACCCAGTGACATTCGTGGACACTCGCTGAATGTGTATGGAGGCCTGGCAGTGGGTGGTGCATTACAGCAGTGGTGACAACAGCAGTGGGTCATCTCCACTGGTGCAGATTTTTTAAAAGCATGGCATGTAGGCTCTTGCTCCTTGCTGACAAAAAAAAGTACAGTGAACGGTGGTGACTGTATTGAAAAACAGTGTTTTGTAAATGAGAATTTGCTCTATCAAACAGCGCTATTGTGCTGTCTGTATCTGTTGTAGTTTCCATGGAAATAAATAAGGGGCATTGCTTTTGGAGCTACTAATGTATATGAAGCCTAAGACAATTTCTCTTCATTCAGTGCAGCCCAGGCAAGCCAAAAGGTTGGACATCCATGGAATAACTGAAAGAGCTAAGTCTGTACTATCAGTTCTGAGTAGATTGTTGATGAGATCAGAAATAAGGCATCCTATCAAGATCTCTCTTACATGAAATACACAGATAATTTCCCTTTATGGTTTAGAAGGAAGAAATAATAATAATACCTCCCCAAAAGAACAAACAAATAAGTTACTCTTCCCTCCACAAAAGAAGAATCCCATAAATACATTTTTCAGAGGAAATCTGGTCTTTGTGCTACGCTAACACTCTGCCTTAGCATTTGCAAGGGCAAGTCGGGAATGGCTGTTCTTCATACTTGCAGTATGTGGGTGTATGAAGCTTGTGTTTTCTAATTATATCATTAAATTCATGACTCACTTGTTAACTGTGTCCTCTTCTGTTACGAAAGTGTGCTCTAGAAGCACGCTTTAAAGAACAACAACAAAAAAAAAAAGAAAAAAATAATTAAAAATACCTTAAGATGTGAATCTGCCTTGCATAGACAAATATGCACAGTCTTGTAATGTGTGTAGATCACTCTGAAGGTGTTGCTTTGTATTTATTACCATGGAAACTACAACAGATACAGGCAGCACAATAACAGTATTTGATAGGGCAAGTTCTCAGCTACAAAATGCTATTTTTCCACATAGTCACCACCATTTGCTGTACTTTTTTTTTGTCAGCAAAGAACACTCAGCCTGCATGCTGCGCTTGTAAAAATCTGCACCAGTGGAATGACCTACTGCTGCAGTTGGCACTGCTTGAAATGCACCGCCTCACTGTGCTCGCGTGCCCTGCTGGGTTTCCATACACGTTCAGCAAGTGTCCATGAATGTCAGTGGGTGTAATTCATTCCACGTGGAGAGATTCATTGACACCCCTTTGCTTCATGTATGCTTCTATGTCAGACACTGTTCTTTCAGATTGCCCCTCTGCTGCCACCTGTCACATAGCAACAGAATGTAAAGGGACATTGGTGGGAAGCTTCAACCTCTGTACTCCCACCATCTGCTTCTGAAGTGGTGGGCCAACCTAATAATAAAAAATAGGAGGCGTTACTTTCGGAGCCGACCTTGTAGGTGATAATCTGACAGCTTATCAGTGGAAGCCTTTCTGTTTTCTCTCCAAAACTATTTCACTGTTAATCTAACTAGTGCCACAATAAGAATAAATAAATCTGTGTTGCTCCTCCTGGGTTTCTCTTGGGAGAGGGGATCTGGTTGACCTGATTTTGCTGAAAGAATCCATTTATTCAAATAACATCCAAATGTGGTTTTAAATACCAGGAGGCTTGAAAAGAGGAGAACCCTTATCCTTCTCCAGCACAATCTTAAACGTGAATTTTTATATAAAATATGTGTTTTGCTGAACGCTTTTTCTTCCTTTACAGCAATAACCAAAGGCTTACTGCTTTAGACACTTCAGTTATTACATTAGAGAACAGTTACGTACCTGCTCAACTGTTAGGTTTTTGTCTGGTCCAGTTAGGTAAGGTGTGAGAAAAGACTCCGAAGGTCTCATTGTGGAGAAAAACCCATTCACACAGATGATGAGCGTGGGATAAATCCAACTGCTGCATATGGCTCCTTTCCAGCAATCCATAATTTGTGTAAGAACGCAGTGAAAAAGCAAACGCACCAGAAATTTGTCAAGAAACTGCTCACAATTGGTAAAACCTCATCTGAAAGTTTACTTTTTAACCAAGCCAACTCTTGCCAACGTTTCTTTCCCCACACTTCCTCCTAATCACAAACACAGTTGTAAATTAACAGCTTGGATCAAGGTGCACTTGTGGTGGGACTTCAGCCTCTGTTATGTCAAGTGTTGTTCAGTGGTGTACTTAGAATTGAGGAGATGCATCTCAGTGGAAGAATCAAGTTCCATTCCAGTCTCATTTCTGAATAAAGGCTGAGCAAAATGTTAGATTCTCAGCATGCTCAGGGAGGCTGTCTGTCTGAGAGTCAATTGGAACAACTGAGGTGAAAGTGTTTTGTAGGCAATAAAAGCCCCCAGGCAGCTTACAACACGCTATGAGCTCTGTCTTAACATTGGAAATACTTAGTCTGAATAGTATATAAAGGCAGCATTGCTGCGACCTCAGAGGAAGGTTACAAAAACCAGCCCTAAATTCAGATCTTGATTTCCAATAACAGGTGAGTGTGTGGAGAAAACACTGCTGGGTGGTCCATCACCTGGCTGGCTGAGAGGTGGCTGCTGGCCAGGATTTCTCTGCTAGCCCACACCGTGCTTGCCTAATACCTCCTGGCTTTGAATGAAAAGATGCAATTTTCATGCTGTTTGGTTTTCCAGAATGGGCCTCACCAGCTTGACTGTATCTTAATGGAAGACTTGTCCCCCAACCCGGTGGTGCTTCAAGGGCAGTTGGTGCTGCTCTTAGCTGAGGCTGTCACTTGGGACAGCGATGGTTATGCAGAATCCTTTGGCATGCTTAGAGGAGAGATGAGCCCTTCGTGTTCAGCTCAGCTGCAAGGGGAGGTGGATTTGTTCCAAGTTTCACTTTCCTGCAGATCTAAAAAGCCCTGCTGGTGCCTGCCAAACCTCAGTTGTGGCTTCTTCAAAGCGTGTGTGCTGTACATGAACACACAGCAGGACACATGCATCTCAATCGCTTGGATGAAACCAGTGCTGATTGCTGGGTCAACACTGTCTTGCTGCTGAAAACTCAGGATAACATGAGGCTTTACCTTTCTGTTGTTGATTATGATTCTGTTGTCTTGTCATTGCTAATGCTCCTAAGAGCTTCCCTATCCCCCTTCCCCTCCCAAATACTCCTCCAAACTCCCAACTCCAGAATCTATCTTCTGGAAATTCTAGAGGACAGGAATATAAGCGTATAAAAGGAATGTAAGTGTATATTCTTGTCTGCTTTTGGAAGACAGTGCTCTCTATAACTAAAAGCTACACATACTATCTGCTTGGTTCCTTTACTCCTTAGTGGCAGTGCATGGAAGACGGCGAGCTGCGACCAACTCAAAACAGAGGAACTTTTAATGTTACTTCTATCGGTTGTTTTTTTTCTAGCTCCTTTTCTGAAGTTTACTACTGCTAATACATTTTTACATAACAGCAGAGTTTGGCATGTTGCCAATGCCTTTTCCTTTTGCCAGATGCTACCTGTAGGGAGATATTTAACTTTTTGTACTGAAGACAGCTTGAGGAAATTCCGAGTTCCTTTTTTCCACATGCATAGTTCTGTAGTAACAAGGTACTGTTTAGCAGAGAGTAAGTACATCTCCTTTTATACTGCATTGGTTAAACTGTTCTACTTAAAGCCTCTTTGCAACTGGGGATATCTACACAATGCACAACACTGAACAAATGGACTAGAAAAAAAGCTGCCTTCATTTGGTGAAGTCTCACTGATTTTCGTGAGACTTGAAGCAAACTTCTTTCCTGCCCCCTCTCACTCCCATAGTAGGATATTTAGGATAGTTTGCTGGTTGCAGAGGATGACCAGTTTATGAAAAGCGAAAATGTTTGTACATGTGGTATCTTGTCTCTCCACAGGAAAAATATTCTGCAAATGCTTAGTGTTTTCTATTTTTATTAGTTAGATGTAGGTACTGCAAGCTTGAAGCAAACTGCAGTACAGAAATAACTTTAACATGTGGATATATTTTTGTATCAAACTAAGTATTTACTGTGCAAACTCACTTATAACCTCTCTTTTCTGCCTCCACACTGCATCCTCCCCTATGAGGACAGGCTGAGAGACCTGGGTCTGTTCAGCCTTGAGAAAAAAGACTCAGAGGGGATCTTATTAATGTTTATAAATATCTTAAGTGTGGAAGTCAAAGGGACATGGCCAGCCTTCAGTGGTCTGTGGAGATTTGAATCCAAATTTTTTTTACCCTTCCATGCTGGGATCGCTGTGAATTCAGCGCACCGCTTAGGTTGCTGCTTTCAGACAAGGATAATACAGTAACTGTGGCATTGCAGAGTTTTGAAGGTTGTGCAAACTGCCTTTGAGCTTTTGTGTGCACAAGGCCTGCTTCTGTGGTGGGCTTTTGAATTATAAGGGAGTCATCTACCACTGAATGCCTGTCTTTGGGTAGGAGAGAGTATAATGATGCAATATCTTCCTCCTCAGCTCAGAATAAGGTACACGCAAAGGGCAGAAGTAGAGAATAGGCTCATGTGCACTCACGAGCAAGTGTGCATGGAAGCAGCTTGGCAACACTGGTTGCAAGAATTAGACAAGCAAGCAGAGTGAACTCCGATCTTTCCGACTGTGCACAGCATAACGCCAAGGAGGTTACTGTGCTTTTTTTTATGTCTAAACTACTGCTATCAAGCTATTTATAGGAAAGTAAATAAGAATCTAAAGTAACTTATCTTTTATTCTTGGTACAGTGCCATTATGTTGATCTTATCTGGCATACGTTGCAAGGAAGTGCTGCAATGATTCAGCGTAGCTTTTCGGGGCTGCGTTGTAAGTTCCTCTTGCACAGTGGTTCCCTGTATGCTGCAGCAGGAGCTCTTCTCTCACGAGGGCTGGCCATGTGAGCGGTCTGCCCAACTCTTACAGCCGTGTCGCACAGCCAGTTACAGTCTGCTCTTTTGATTCATGTTCAGTGGGGTTCTGAGGCTCTTCCCACAATCTCACTGTTTTCCTGTTGCACTTTCTTGAGACAAGCATGCAAATGCTTCTGATCAAGAAAATCCCAGCTATGACTGAAAAGTAGCTGCCATAAATTAAAAACTAGAGGGAAAAAGGAAAAAAAAAAAAGCAGAAAAATTGATGAAAAACACATGGTTGAGAAACACTGCTTCTCCTGAAAACAGACACAGTTTTGTTTACCTGTGTTCTGGCATAGTTTCAATGTTTGAACTTTTTGCTTTGTCATTAAGCGAAATCTTAGCTTTTCCAGAAAGCAGTACTATGAAGAATGGAGAACTGCCACGTTGTTCCCAATCCTTATGCTTCCTATTAAACATCAGAGGGAGGAAGGGATAGGAACAGGATTTTTTTTTTTTATATTATTGTGAAATGTAGAGACAGCATGTCCATTACTCACACTGTAATGAATCATGCAAGTGAAGAGTCCAAGTTTGTCCTTTTCCTGCTCTTACTCGCACATTTCACTGGGATCACCACACTGGGTTCAGTAAATGTAATACGAATTTGAATCAGTATTTCCAGTAACAGCGGCCTATTTATGAAGTCTGTTTATGAAGTCTGTGGGTGTTCCTGTCCTTAATCTTCAAGACCTAATCTTTAATCTTTCATTTAATCTTTCATTTATCCAAGTAACTTCTGTTATCTCCATGGAGAACATTTGGATAGTTTTAATTTTCTTCATATCCATGGGAGCAGGAAGTTGCCTCAGCTTCCCGGATGCCAACTGAGATAATGCAGAAGTTGGTAAATTTCAACTGACTGTCACGAATGGAATTGGTCTGATTGAAGTTATGGACACTGATGTGGGAGAGGGTATCCCATGCCAAATTGAATGACCAAGCCACGGGTAATGAGACATTATTCATCTTGAGATATCGATCAGGTTTACTCTTGAGCTGCAATTAGAAGGCAAGTGTCCTTGAACTGAAGTAATTTCAATAATCCATGCTGTCTCAAGGTCTTGAGGTCCCCTGACAGTGTGGGATTATGTTGATTCAACATCTGAGAACCAGCCTAATTTTTTGGGCAGAGGATGTTATTCAATGCCCTATGAATTAGCAAAAGCTAGGTATCAGGGCCTACTTATTGAAGGTGTGGAGTCATCGCCTTTAAAAAGTTGTTTCTCATCATTAAACATCTTAAAAGCCGCACTAAAAGGCAAATAGGAAGGCTAACACCAGATATGCTGCCTTGATTTCTATAGAAGAAAGGGAATTACATTATCATTTGCATTATAATTTCTTTTTGTAAACTTCTGAAGATGAATTGGCTGAATAATGAAAGGGAAGCAAGTTAACAAGCACATACCTGAGTCACAATGTCCAGTCCCAGGCCTCTTGAGTCCACAGCAACTACTGTAAGGATGGTCTGAATCACCAGTGCAATGAAGTTATTCAGCCCAAACATCAAAGCATAACGCTCCATGCTCAGATTGACTGCGATCTGGAACCTATGGTGAGATGGGCAGGTGCTGAGGTTTCACCCAGCATGCAGCTCAGCACCAAGCAGCTGTGTGCTCTTTCCTCCTCCCCCGGTAGGATGGGGGAGAGAATCAGGGGGGAAAAATTAGAACTCACAGGTTGAGACAGAGACTATTCGTTAAGGCGAGAAAGAGAAATAATGGCCATGGTAACAGTTATATCTTCTAACCAGTTTTTCTGATGTAAATCTTGTTTTGGCAATAGACTTTCATAGCAATATTTACCTCCCAAGTTTCTATCTGAACAAATATCCCTGCAGAATGCTTTGAACTGATTTTTCGCAGCTTTCTGATGCAAGTTTTTATTTTTTCTGTAGAATATGTTAAAGAAGTTCAGGTGTGATCCATTATAATGTACTAAAAATCCACCAAAATATAAGTGGAAAGTTTAATTGACTTTGTTAAAGATGAGTATTGTTTTGTCATGTCCTGTACTTTTATCTCTATTTTTTTTGGTTGACTGCATCATTATGGGTTTTGACACAAAAGTGCATTTGCTATTTGTTAAAGAAGTAGTATGGTAAAAATTTTATGCTAAAAACAAGCTATCAATACAATAAATGGTGTAATAAAATGTTTTGCATATATTATATTTTCAGTTTCTGACAACAAAATAACTTGATCTCATTGGATGTCTTGTTTGAGTTTAAATGCCCCATACTCTTTTATTTCATGTTTACACTGTAATATCATTGAGGATTATATATATCAGCAAAGTCTGATATATATAAGGGGATTTTAGAAGATGGTTTTCCAAGATGGTTGTGCTGTCCCTGTGGTTCACTTTGCATCTCCTGTGCCAGCATATGTGCAAGGGGAAAGTAACTTATGCTTTGCTGTTATGGCCTTTAGTAGTAAATATACCTTATACTATGTTTAACTTCTGCGTAGGCAATTGTTGAGTGCTCTTCTAATAACTTTTCTTTATGTTTTTTTAGAAGGATACTTAGAACATAAGCAGACACTTAAGTGTCCTTGTCTTTACATGAACACCCCCATCTTGTACTAGATGAGAGTAAAAAGAGGGATGCCCAAAGTATACTTAAAGTATCGTAAGTATTATGTAAGTCATGGTAGCTGTGAGGGTTAATACTTACGTTGCTATTGTTATAAGGAGCACATAGCTTGCCTTGAAAATTAGGTAGCTGGCATAGCACACCCAGATATTGGTAGTAAAGTGCATGAGAAATAAAGAAACAGCATCCATTATGGAGAAGATTCCTAATGCCAGTTCTCCAAATAGGTCCCAGTTCATTTTCATGTATGCTACCATGAAAGATGCTACAGAGCCTAGAAAATACAAAGTAAGAAGAAAGAAGCAAACATCACATCTGTTACGTTGCCTGTATCACTAAGGCTTGCCACCCTCACCTACAAAAAGGCAGCACTGAATAATGAAGTAGACTAGTTCTGAAATTGGGCAGATGACTGGTTGTTTTTAGACAATAGTTTGAAGTGTCTGCCATTCTTTTTTTTGTTTTATTCCACTTCTTGGATAAGCTGTCCTGTGTAAGGATTCATTATTTGCATGTAGGCAGCATGCGCTTCTAGGAAGAGATTTCTGAATGCTGTTTGGAGCTTGAGGAACAATTCTCCTAGTTTCTATGAGCTTACACTATAAACAAGCTAGCAAGCTGTTTCCTCGTAGGTCAATGGTTTAGGTCTGTGCAGCTCAATAAGGAGCTAAGATACCCAAAAAAGGAGGACTTTTGTAAAATATCAATGAATATACTCAGGAAAAAAAAAAAAAAGAGAGAGAATGGGGAGGTGCTATTTGATTTTAGTGAGTTTCCTACAAAAACACACCTATTTTGAAGGTAAGCCATCCAGATGACCATCTTATGGGATCTCATACAATTTAAAAACCTCTGCAATGAGAAAAGTAAGCATTGCCATGAGAAGTTTTTCTCATGGAATAGGCACCATAGGAGTTAAGTGTTTTTAGTGCATCATTCAGTTGGTCTACATTAGCTGCCTACCTCCATATTAGAGTAATTTTTGAACTTAGAAGCATTTGGTTCTCCTTAATGACAGTAAGGGTAGTGAAAGGCCAGTTAACAATGAAGATATATCTAAGTTTTCTGTTGCATCACAGCCCAATTACTTCTACTGCAGCACAATATGAATGTGAAATGCTGCCAAGTCGAAGTGGTATCCTCTTACGTTGCCTTGGGATAACGTTACTTTGCTTGTGCAGTGTGGACATCTGCTCCCACTGCAAGAGTAATTGTTAACATTAGTACCATTGCGAACTGAGTAATCACTTTTTCCTGTAAATCTCCATATCTTGAAATGACTGAAATTCTTTGCTTCTTGCTGTGCAAGAACATTTCACTAGAGACAGCTCTTAATGAGAGGTGTATGCTCTTTGTGTGTAAAATATTTATGGAAAACTCATCTTTATGCTATTGCTATGGGAACAGTAGCGCTACTTGGTTGGCATCGAGGCTGTGGAGAGAATAGAAAACAAAACTCTGTCAAAACAAAACCCTGTCAAAAAAGGCAAGTGTGCCTTCAAATGAATGTAAGATGCATGGGATTTATGCTCTCTGCATACTAGTAGGATAAAGTTTGTTGCCCCAGTCATATAGAACAACAGCTTTGCTCACATTTGTGCTATTCTGTACATCAAAGAACAACTTTTTGAATGCACAACTTGTATACTGCTTTCCTGCAGCATCTGCAATGAAAAAGAACTAAAAAAATGTTCTAAAGTAAAACTTCGGATGCCACCTTTGATTGATTCTTAGAATGTAACTTACTCAGGAATGTTGCCACTGCTTCAACAGCTCCATTGTACACTGCAGAGCTGTGAGATGGGGCTCGGAAGTCCCACAGCACTTGGATGTAGTTGACAACTTGGTTAAAGCCTGCCGTAGCCAAAGCCCACCACAGGGACCAGTAAAGCAGCTTCCGAGAGCTGTAGCAATCCTTCAGGTCCTTGCCCAGCCGCACCAGTACTCTCAGCACGTGGTGCTGGGGCTCGGGCTGCTGAGCCTGCTGTGCTGGAGTCGCTCCCGTGTCAGCAGCTGCGCAGTCCTTGTCCGCTTGGCAGCTCAATGACGTGTTGGAACTGAGCCCAGCCACAGCTTTGTCTGGTTGTGGGAGGGTTTCTGAGGGGCCTTTCCTATGGAAGAACATGCTCTTTTGAGGCACTGGGAGGAGAAAGGAGCACACAAAGGCCAGGGACACGGAAGCCAGAGTAATGGCATTGAGGTGAAAGTAGGATACGTCTGCTAAGGAAACCAGGAGCTGTCCCAGCACAGCAGCAAGGGTGGCTGCAACGAGAGTGATACTCCTGCAATAGCTCGTCACTCTCTGATAGCGATCAGCGCTGACGACGCTGTAGATGTAGGCGTAGTAGGCAACCTCGGTGGCTGTCACCATCCCGTAGGAGAATTCCATCACCTGCATGGCCACCAGCCCCTGTGCAAAGAGGAGCAGGAGCCACGTGACAATGAAGCTGACGCCCTGGAGGAGGAGGATGGGCTTGTAGCGCACGTAGTCAGTAATCAGGAAGACGGGGACAAGGAGCGCGAGGTAGGAGTATGTCCAAACTGGGAAAACCTGGTTGGTAACCTAGAAGTGAAGAAGATATCTTATTCTTCTTGGTGAAAATAAGTTCATTTATTTAAATTGATTTATAGAAGGGATGAAAAAGATGTCATATATAGAAACTGTGTTCTGAAGCATCAAAGGTCTATTAAACAGAGTACTGAATCTTAAGTTTTACAAACCCTGTTTATGTGTATTTCAGATCTTTTTCATTTATGCCACCTGCAAACTGTAACCTGCCAAGACCATTTAAAATTTTGTGTAAAGTTCCACATTTCATTTTGTGAACACAAAAAGCAGAGAAAATCATACCTCATCTATTGTCAAGTTTTTATCTGGTCCAGTTAGGTAAGGGGTTAGAAAAGGTTCTGATGGCTTCATCATGTAGAAGAATCCATAGAGGCAGAGGATCAGGGTGGGAAAAGTCCAGGTATTGCTTTTCTTATTCTTCCAGCAGCCCATGGCAAAGCTGGGGAGGAGATTTCTTAGCTGACACTGCCCAAAACACAAAGATGTTTTGTCATTCAATATATTTTCTGGTTTCTTGTGCTAAGTAGTGTTCTTTAAATGTTGGCATCTGGAATACATCTTTCTTAGCTCAAAAGTGAAAAGCTTTCTTTACATACCTCTGCTGTTTCTCTGTTGACAGTGTATAAAGATTTGGAAGATCTGTAAATGAGAGACAAATTACACTATCATTCATTCTGTACTGAGCAAGCTAACCACAGAAAAAGCTTTCCTAGATGAAGATAGCTGAATACTGTGATTCTTTGACATCATGGCTGATCTCAACCAAGCACCTTACTGAATAATAAGCTTAGTTTGTAATCACTGTTTTTTCTCCGTGCCACCTGCCCCCCCCCCCTCTTCCTCCAGAGTTGTTTGGCTTTGCTGTTATGGAGAACTGGAGCCCAGAAGGTCAGTCACTAACAAATATAGCAGTTAAAGTGAAATGAAGCAGATATTTCAGCTCTTTTCTCTAGCTGAGACTTAAGGAATAAATTAAACCTTGTTGCAACTTTGCTGGACAGAGCCAGAGAAATGAGAATGGGTATGATGTGGGAGCATGCAGAGGAAATGGGTACAGTGTAGGTTACATTCCGTATTCATGTTGATCTAGATAATATCAGGAATCTAAACTTATGCAGTCTATCTTTTGGAGCCCTCTGTATGGTTCCTGTTTCTAGATGCTATTTCTGTTGCTCTGTTTTCGATGTCATGTCTGTTTTTCTTCCTAACAACTTTTTTCAGGCAAAATATTGTCTTCGTCTTAAAATAGAAGCATTTTGTGGGCACCATTTTCCTCAGAAATTAAGATTAAAAAAAAGATAAAAATGAGGAAGGCTTCTTCCAAACCAAATGAAAATGTTTGTGCATGTGTCGACAGTGTCACTCCAGGCTGGCTGGGTGGAGGATCCTCTCATAGGGTACAAAAGTTACCTGGTGTACGAAATGTAAAGAATGAGGTAGCAAGCATTTTACATCTTGTATAACTTCATATCATGACTTCAGATTTTCCTAATGATGTGCATAGAAACAGTGCAAATCAAGCAGAATTGGAATTATTTCATATTATGTGAAACTTCTGCATAAATGTTGGAGGATTTACAGCAGAAATTACAGCTGTATGTCAGCTCTATAGTGTGAACCACTAGAGGGCAAGATGGCCCCAGCAAAGAAATAATGTCTCAAGAAAAATTCGCGATACATCCATAGAATTCAAGGAAAGGCATTTCTGCCCCTTCTTCATTCCCTGCTGTTGGAGTTGCTTGTGCTGTGAACGTGGATTTGGCAAGGATGACTTTGGGCTCTGCCTAAACTGGTCACCAAAACATCCTCCTACTCTTCTTTTCTTGAATAACCTTTAATGCCTTACAGCACTCTGACACCGCATGCATGCTTCATGTGGCACACAAAGACTCTGAGACAGGCATCAGAAAGAGGGACTGAAAAGCATTTCTTGCACTTCAGTGAAGAGCATCAACAGAGGTTAGTTCTGTGACTTACCCAGTTTGTATCTTTTTCTTTTTCAAACTAGATCCTCAGGTTAAATATGCCTGTCTCTTTTAGGTCCTGCTGGGTTTGTTCTATACCCAGTAGGCCATACGGAGTGAAAGTATGGCAGATTTCACGGACCCTTCTAAACATCCCAGGTCTTCAGATGTGAGTGGGACATGGGCAGACTTCTGGGGACTGCTGCATTTCCTGGGACTCAGTGCTGTGACCTGCCTTCTGACACTGGCCATTTGTGGTAAGGTTGTAGCATCTCGTGCAGCAATCTCTGTTTTGAGCTGTGTACAAAGAAATCTTCAGGTGCACCCTGGTATGAGCATCCTTCCTTCCCCAGCACAGCAGGCTTACTATTGGAGGAACCTTTGCATGACTAACAGATACTTCAGATGAGAAGTTTTCCCCTCGATTTAACAGATGTGCAGAGCCAGGAAGTGCTAGGAGCTTGTGGGGACAGCCTGCTCTGTCTGTGGGGAGCAGGAGGTGAGTACCTCTCTCTTTGCAGCAGTATGCACACTCACCTTGCACCCCAGAATCACAAAGAGCTCTGCTGCTGTCCCAGCTTGGCTCTGCCAGCCACTGTTACCGTTGCTCCTTTCTGCACTCATAATCACAAACCTCTGAGAGATCAAAATCTGTGTGTTCATGCTTAAGACAGAGAGAACAGACTTGCTCTCATTTATTCACACCTGATGATCAATTTATCTTTTATAACTCTTGGTTTTTTTGAGTTTTGGAGAGTTGACGAAAATCTTTGGTGTGCAGCCACAGAAAAACCACCTGTTTCTTGTTTTCCCAGTACACTCCATCATTTCTTACTTGGTACCAGGGCCACCAGCCCTTCTCCTATGTGGCTTGGCCCTTCAGTTCCCCACCAAAGTGCTCTCCTCCCCTCCATCTTTCTTTCATCACTGTTGGATTTCTGATTTCAAAGCTCATATATAATCATACCTTGTGTGCTTGAGCCCCTCCTTTCTTGTTTCCACATGAAAGGTCCCCTTTTGGGATCTACAGTCTTCAGCTGTCCTCTGTGAATTGCAGCTTCTGGATTCTATTTGGCTTCCTTGCTTGTCCTGTTCTAGTAGTTCAACTTGTTCTGAGGACACCACCTCTGAGAACACTTCCCACTGGCTCACTTTCAACATCCTTAAAGGAACAGAACAGATAATCCTGGCCTTTTCTTGCCCAAAGGCAGCAGAAAATTGAGACTGAAAATATGGTTTGATGGTTGACTGAATTAAAAGCAAATAGTACCAATCCTCTCCCCAAAGATTTTCCTCTTTATCTGTTCCAAATGTTTAACAAAGACAGCACCAGAGCAGTCGCTCTTACTCACATGTTGCTAGAGTGCACATTCCCATCTGCACCACACAGGGTAGTGGCTGCTGGTAGCAGTGCGGGATGGAGCTGAGAGCTTTGTCATTCATCATTGTTCTGTGTCACTGGGAGTTTCATTCTTCTCATTGGCAACACTTTAGTGGTGGCATACTGATGTGTTTGCATAAGGAAGGCCTGGAGCTCTTGTTAGAACATGCTAGCAAAGTAGCCCGGAGTATGTAAAAGTTTTGTGATGAGTTTTTGTAATGACAAGGTAAACGTAAGCTGGTTGTGGAGCAATGCTTTAGCTCCTCTTTTGTATACTGTGCTGTGCCAGGAGTGTTTTATCCTCCTTAGTTTTCTCTTATTAGGTAGAGGAAAATTAACTTTATTGTCTTCAGCTTTGTGGAATATAAGTCACCGCTGGATTTTCTTTAGTTGCATTTTCTTTGGTGAATTAAATGTAACAAGTCAAACCCCTTCTGTTCATGAAAGGCTGGGAAAGTACCACCTGAATTACAATAGATGTCCCATTGGGAGTCCTGCCAAGTCCTTATAGGGAGTATGGCATGCTTGTTTGCATTGCAGTGATCGGCACTGCGGCTCTCCGGATTGCTTCCTGTCTGTTAAGAAAACTGTCAGACTCTGGGAAGCTCAGAAATAGTGGGGTGTTAGAAATTTTTTTCTCCGGCACAAAGAAAATTTGTTTCATTGCAGCACTTAGCTGAGGCATGAAAAGTGATATAGTCCAAAGGAGCCAGAGGGCAGAAATGGAAAGCAAACATCTTCTAGCTTGTGAAGGTGTCCGCTGGTACTGTTCTCTGCAAAATGAATCATTTAGAAGTTCTATGTGAACTTTAAGGCATCTTCCCCTTTTGATTTTGTATGGGGTCTATTTTTCCTCTGCCCCAGAGACAGTACGTCCGTCAGCTCTTTCACTGTCATGGAAACCATCAGTGTTTCTAGGAAGAACAGCAGTTTGATGGTATTTCTGGATAAATGATCCCAGTCAGACATGTGGTCAAATTTCTGCTTCAACTGCCAAGCTATCTTTCACCATCACTTTGATTGTTGGTGTGGTTCACGAGTTGGCTTTGAGCTCTTCAGTTCTGAAAGAAAAAAAGATTGAAACACATATTTCTCTGTGGCTAATATGAAAATTTTGTTTAATTCTCTCTTGATATGAATCACATGTTATTCATATGAGTGAAAGATCACTTTCATGAAGTACCAAATGCAGTAAAAATTACGGCCTATTTTCTCAACTGGGTCAACCCCAATTTACTCCTGTAAAAGCTGTGAGCTCCACATGATCGACTAGTGAGCCAGCCAAGGTCCATGGGTTGGCTTGGGTCTGAAGAAGTGTTCATTAGTCTCTGGAGATAGAGCTTGTGCCAACTCTCACTGATCTCTGACAGAAAGTAAAACCTCCTCTTTCCATTTCAGTGCAGTAATTGTTTGAGTCTGCAACTAAAGAGGAAAAGAAAATAATAATAATTTTTTGAAAAGTCATGCTTTTAGTAGATCAGGAAAGAACAAAATTATCTATTCATCTTCACCTTGAGAATTTAGAGGGAATTTTGGTCATTCATGGATGTGTTCTGTATGAAAATAAGTCTCCTGGAATTATCTCTATTTGATGGCTGGACCTGAGAACTTTGCCATCCTATTTGTGTTTTTGTTTGTTTTTGTTTTCCTTTTTTGTTTGTTTGCTTTGTAATGATATACAATTTAATTCAGTGAACAGTTTAAGTGGTGTTTTAGAAATCCATTGCATGGTTTCTTCATCTTTGGTTAAGTAGCACAAAGGAAATGATATTTTAGGTCAAGCAAATCTCATCTGAGTTAGTTAATAGTGACTAATGGAGACTTGCTGTGGATTGCCACAGAGATGGGAGGAAAAACCTGAGAGAATTTATTAGCAACTTCCCATGTTGAAAGATCACTTTCTGAGGTGTGTTCCTTTGTAGGCTTGACCTGTTTATCCTACAAACCTCCCACTTGTGGCAGTTTACCTTTGTCCTGTTGTCATGGAAGGATATCTCGTTTCAGAGTAAAAATTTACATTTACTCAACTCCGATAGGAAGTTTCAGCACCTCTGCTCTACTTTTTTTTTTTCCCCTCAAAGTGCATCTCATGCTATAGGCACTGTGGAAGAGTTTGAATCATTGTGACTGCCCAAGTCCTACTGGAAAAACACGTGTTGTGTCTAGACAAGTGCACATAGCTAGCTGGATGTTTCATTTAATGTTAAACCTCTAATGACATTTGAGAAATTACATATGCATCATTTTAGATTCTAGAGTAGTAGATTCTTTTAATAGATTCTTTTAACACTTTGATTCCTTGCCAGCTCAGAAGGGTTTGGATAGCAGTAACCAAACACTTGTAGTTGGACAAATATTAGGTAGGCATTTTTGTCCCAGGTGAGAGTGTAAACATTGTTGTGTCAGAGGCAGCAGTTCTAGTTTATGCTTTATGCTGGCAGTATGGCTACCATTTGCAGGACCCTCAGTGCAAACATGAAGCATAAAAAGGACCATTCTCTGATCTGCGGAAGTATAGATTTAAAAAGTCCAGGCAAAAACGTTCTTGTTAAGCACAGTTCATTTGGATTAGCAGATTTCTGTCAAGTCCAGAGTGCTTGGTTTAGAATGTCTTGTGTTTGGGCAGAATTTCTGGCTCTAGTTCTTGCAGAATGATCTCTTGTTGTTTCCAGGAGACCCTGAAGCTTGTTAGCAATCCTGTGTGGCTAGGAACAGCACGTTCCTTATAATGCCAGCCATGGGCCTCAGCAAAAAAGCCCTGTGGCAGGTAACAGGAGCAGTCCAGTGGGGTGGCTAGGGTCATCCAGACCAGATTTTGGAAATAACAAGTACGTTATGCTTGAAGCAGACAAGGGGGGACCTCATAGGAGAGGAAAAAGACCTTGGCAAATGTTTATTAAAGGGACTTAAAGCAACACTGTTCTTGCCAAGGCCCTAAAACACCTCTCACAGAAATCAAGAGTTGAAGAGCTAAGGTCCAGAAGGTGTTTAAAAGGCATAGGGCAGATAAGCTAGGTGATTGTGTTATACAAAAGAATCTGGAAAAGTCACAGTGGAAGGACCTAGAGCTGTGGCTTCCTTGGGAAAAGTGTAGGACAGGGAAGCCCGAGCTAGCTGTTTTAGGCAACCATGGTTTAAATCTCCCCTTAGGAAAGTCCCCATAATGTACCTGCTTAGTGCTGAAAAGCTACACTGATTTCAACACTTGAGAAGCCCTGTGTCCATGGCCACTCTGCTAACACCCTTGACAGAGCCATTAAATGGTATTAACTAACATATATACAATTTATTTGTGCTTTTTTTCCCCTAGTTTGGCAATCCAAAGCAAACAGGTGTTGCTGGAAAGTTTTATGCTTGTCTTCATGCTATACGTAACAAAATCCTGATTGTGTCAAACATGTACTTAGCAGCCTGGAGAGATGGAATGCTCTAAATGTCAAGTCCGGTAAAATCTTCAGTCAGGGAGTTCAAGGTCAGCCCAAAACTTTACCACTTCACATTATTTGGTTCTTCCTTCTCTCCTTTTATTATGTCAGTTCAAGAAAAGAACCACAGACTGCTAGAGAAAAGTTCCTTCAGATTTTATAAAATATTCTCTTCTAATTTTTAGACAAACCTGTATTGGTTTCACTTGATTCATGAGCAGATTCAGCTTACCTGGAGTTGTGTTTCTAATAAAATTAATTATCTTTTTTCTTTCTTCTTCTTTTTCTTTTTTTTGCCTGTCTCTATTCTTCTCTACAAATCTGGAAAATGTCACACCTCTCTCCTTCATCATCACCAAGGGTAATGACGCTTTTTGCTATCTTTATGAATTGAATATTTTTGAATGCATTAAATACTTCAAAATATTTTTAAGTGCAAACTCACATTTGTTAATACTGGAAAGCAACTTGATGTTCAGGCTGTGGATTTTGGCTCCTCTCCTCTCTCCTTATCCAGATCATTGCGTTCTGTACATTTCTGGAATATTCTCAACCATGCAACATTACTGGAAAAGCACTGACAAACATGCAGAGTTGAAGTAAGATGACTCCTGTACAAAAAGATTGCTGTGTGTGTTTTCCAGGATGTTATAAGATAGTAAATCGCACTCACTTTTTGTAAGCTATTTCCTTTTTGTTTGCAAATGACACAGCTTTCCCAAACCATTTTGGGTGATATGTTCTGTGTCCTCTTAAGTGATTTCTTTCTTCCTTACATTTGTAGAAGTTAGGCAGAAAAAAAGCAGTTCTTGACTTCTTTAGTGTTCAGAAACATTAGTTGTAATGTTTTCTTTGATTGTACCTGAATTTTTTAGATTCCTTTCTTCCTTCATAAATTAGATGGAGTTGTACTGCAGCAAATTTAATGAAACCAACAGCTCAGATTGGTAGGAAGCTTTTTTTTTTAGGGGGGGAGGGAGGGTGGAGGGTTGGAGTGGGGTAGAGGGTGGCTATTTTTCATCCATCATTCCAATTTTCTTTTTTGCCTTCAACTTTCAGAGGTCTACTTCTTTGAAAAGGTGATTGAATACCAAAAGGGACTATAGGACAGAATAACATTGTTTTGAACTAGAGAGATCTTCCTATAGAATGCCAGATATTCAGCTTTTGGTCCTGTAGTAAGAAG